AGATTCACAGTGGCATCGTTCATAACAGACACAACGTGAGAACAATCCAGATGCGCACCAGCTGGCGAATGGATAAAAACGTATGATCTATCCACGTAATGGAATACTACCCAGCAGCATATGAGGATGAAGCACTGGTTACACCCCACAACATGCACGGACCTCCAAAACCTTACGCAAAGTTAAAGAAGCCAGATGCAACCTTAGAGGCTGTAAGATTCCACTTATAAGCAAATTACTGTGGAGACGGAAAGCAGATTAATGGGAGCCGGGGTGGGGACAGGGAGTGACTATACACGGGCACAGGGGTGTCTCTCTAAGGCGTGGCAATGTTTTAAAATTGGCATGTGGTGCATTTTATGGCATGTAATACCGCACGTCAATGAAGCTGTTTCCTAAAGAAAGTAAAAATCGCCAAGTTTTGGGTTGACCAAAAATCCCGTTTCAGGCGCCAACACTGCTTCATACCAATTCAGAAAGACGACTATTTATACTCTGGATTGCGCTCTGAAGCCGGTGTTGTAAAATGAAGTGTCGGCCAGTCAGCGTGGCTCAGCAACTGAGCATTGACCTGGGATCCAGGAGATCGGTGTTCGATTCCCAGTCAGGGCACAGGCCCAGGTTGAGGCTCGATCCCCAGCAGGGGCCGTGCAGGAGGCAGCTGATCAATGACTCTCATCATTGATGTTTTTCTCTCTCTCTCTCCCTTGCTCTCTGAAATCAATTAAGATATATTAAAAAAAAAAAAAAAATGAAGCGTCTTCCGAGGCCACTACGTTAACCATGATGACCTTTACACAGGAGAGCAGCATTTGCACACCTCAGGAATTAAGTATCTATTTTGGCATCTCCTCTTAATCAGAAACATCCTCCTCTAAGGGGCAGAGGGGACTCGGACAGAGAAGCTAAGTAGATTGTCCACAGGCAGATGGAACCTATCAGCTGCCATGCGCCTCGCGTGCACAGGAGGAGATTATCATTTCAGTATGTATTATAGAAGAAAACTAACAGAATGATCTTGACCATCACTGACAAATCGATTTTATGGTCTATTCAACAGCCAGTATCCCTTTAAAACTATTCTTCTCAATGAGCCAAAGCAAGAACATTGTCTAAATGTGTACATTTTACTGACAGCAAATTAGGAATCAGCTTTTCATTAATAAACATGAAGACACATAGTTTCTACGTAAAAATGAATATAGAAGCAGCTCTCGCTCTTTTATTCTCAAAATTGGCCATTAAAAGCTAAGAATTAGGCATCTATCCCACGGTCTCAGCTTTCTAGGGCCGTGCATTGAATTACCACTTGTAAACAACGCCCGTTGTTTTATCGCACAAGTCCAGGTGGGCTCCTCGGAGGGGGG